AGTCACTTAGCCTACTTATGTATATATATATATATATATATATTATTCTGGAGGTCCCGCAAATCTGTATAAGAACGTCTTGGGAGTAAAGACGAAGAAGCTCTGTACAGTCTGACACAAACCTGAAAAGCCCAACAAAAATGAAAAAACCTCGTTCATTTCTTTGAATACCCAGCAATACTGACGTTCGACGAAGGTGCTAGACGAAAGTTTAGTACACATAAAGGTGGAATTCATCAGAAACAGGGCAATTTTACGAAATATAGGCCCACAAAATTATAACGTGTGAAGGTCCTTGTAAGAAGTTGATTGTGTTCAGAGTTGGTGCAAGTGGCAGGTACGATCCTGGCAGGTAGCTAGTGAAGAGAAAGAAGCGCCTAAGTAGAGGTCATTGAAGAGCAACAGAAATGAGCTTTAGAATGCTTACACGGTGCAAATTAGCCCATCACATTTTAAAAAATTTTACTTAGCTCAGAGAAATCTGTCGAGGATCTTAACGTGGTGCGGTAATCTATAGAATTTGAGGGAAGAAAATAATTCCAGGTTTTTGTTTTCCTTGGGTTCAAGGTCGTTAGTAGTAAATGAACCTCGATTCATTACGGAAGTGAAAAGTCTCAAACTTGACCTAACAGAAGCTTGCCAAACTTTTGAATAGGGGCTTTATTGGTAAAAAACATGAGGGATCCACTGACAGACGGTATTTGACAGGAACGTTGAATATCTCCTTTATTCAACTTGTGCTCAGGCTGAAATGGGGAAGTCATAGTGGTTCTCCTCGGAATACGCTCTTAAACGCTTGGAATCATGGGGAAAAAATTTAATGCAAGTAAGCCTATTCCGCTAGGCCCAAAGTTCATCAAGATCCAAACGAATAAGAACTTGAGGTCATCGACAGACAATCCGGACTACTTATTCGAAGACAGTCTTTTCAGACGATGGAGAGTCAAGCCAGCAGACGCAATACTCAGACCAAAATGGGTGATCTCATCTTAATTTGGAACGAAGCACCTTCATCAGAATTAAAGGACTCATAACAACCTCACGACGAAAATGCGGCGGTAAACACTTACGGGCTTCTGAATTACGTTGAACTATCCCATGACTAACGGATAATAATTAATCTCAGAGACCAACTCAAGTAGAGTTCCTCAGAATTACTAAGCTCACAGGACAAACCCGGAACAAATTAATGACACTACTCATGCAGAAAAATCATGAGTTTAATTCGATTTCGGTTACATATACGCCCAGTCGGTTGGACGGGAATCAACGGACCTTAACGCAAATGGACGCTTTCGATGCTTTTCTATCTAATTAATATCTACTTTTCACCTCACAAATTGATACCTGTCTGTTAATATTTTTAGGTCGTGATTAACTCCACACACATTTTCATGAAACGCAAACGGGCGGAGTTTGTGTACGATTACATCTATTTCGTGTGTCGCCAACAACAAGAATCACGCTACCTAATGTCTGTTGTGACTCTGGGAAAGTGGTGAGTACTTTGCTTGTGTGTTGAAACAGTCTTCGTGCTGGTGAAATGAATTCTGTCATTTGTGCTCGGGGAACAATGAGCCGTTTGAGTATATTTCAGAAGTTTATATCAATTGTTGTTTAGTTATTTGACTAGAGAGAGAGAGATGGACCAAGTGATTAGAGCGCGAATTTACTGACCGGAAGGTCTGTGGTTCGAACTCGACTTCTGCCTATCCACTTCCCCTGTCTAGGCTTGGGCGACCTGGCAGTATCCCAGCCCTCGTGCCTCCTTCGTGTGGCATGGCAGCTAGGCACCGGAAGGGTGCTACGGCTGAACGATTATCATTATTAGTTATCTGACTGAAACGGTGGTTGACTTTTCGGGTTTCCGAAAGAGAGAACTGTTGACGGAACTTTTTTGCGGTCCGTGTATGTTTCATTTGGAACTCCCTACCTCCCAATGTTGTACATTCGCCGAGTTTAACCATTTTCAAGAACAATTTAGATGCATATTTTATGTCCAAACCGAATCTGGAACTGTTTAACTCCATGGGATACTCAGCAAACATTACGCATATTTTTGCGTCCCTTTGTATATATACGTTCACCCTATGGTCGTTGTAAAGTTAACTGCTTTTTAGACCATTAAACCTTGAATTACCTTGAATTGAATTACCACCTTCCAGTCGCTTGGGGAAATAAGATTTGGGATTCTAGTTAACTGGTGCACCTCTGTAATTTATGCATACTGAAAGCCTTTCTGTGTTATGTCACACAATGAAACATTAGTTTCTACACAGATGAAGTGTTGAACCAGCGTCGCACTGATGGGTATTTTGAGTTGAAGGTGTCTGCTATCCGGGTACAGACTGCACGATTGGCGCAGTTATTTCCAGTTAAACAGAACATTCGCGAAACCATACAAAAGTGTATTGTTATGCGTGGGGACTTGATATTCTTAGTCACAGATAAGCCTTGACGCCTGAAAGGTCGTTATTCGGTCATTTCTTGGCTTTGTTAGCTTTGCTTTTGTGGTTTAAAGCTGAGGGACAACGATTTCTGTGTGTAGTTTTAACGTTTCGATCCGTTTACCACACTTCAACGGTACTGATTTGTATTGAACTCATTAATTCTAGCTACGAGCCACAACTTGAGAGAACATACATGTTGTTCCATCTCTCGTCTGATGGTTAGTTATCCGGATAGTGTGGCCTGTGCGCATGAATGGAGCTCACTAGACCAGAAGAAGATTGATACCGCAGGTGCCCATTTGAATGGCATGAAATAGACATTTACTATGGTTCTGTAGTTTCTCTAAGGGGACACTATCAATATGCAGATAGCTCAGTGCTGAGTACAACGAACTGTCGACTGAAAATGAGTTGTCGTGACCAATCAAAACTAAGTTAAACAGGAAACCCATTTTCATCCAGCGTTAGCTCCCGATGTGACCCCAGGCCCTGGATTACTTGATCCGAGAACACAAGGCAACCTTTGAAGAGGGACGTAAAAGTCTATTCTATAAGGGCTACGAGATCCTTTATGAGTATGCCATCGAACTAGGTTGCAAAAACTATGGTATTTCACCCACAGCTGCACCGATTTGATCAATAGCTACTTGAAAAAGCCCAGAAGAGAGATTCAAACAGAGGTTTGCTTGGTTTAGCATAGGTGCTGATTTTTGTGACTAGTGAGTATTGAATAGTTATATTATTGTTCTTCAACTTTGACGTCTATTTTCTATGACACAGATAAAGCTCTAAGATGACAGCAGACTTTCGTTTCTGATGGGGCAACCGAATTAAACGCTTTTCATAAAGGAACCGACTCACAAGGTTGCTGAATACTCTTCGACAGCCCACTACCGGTTTCGCCCTCCCACTTCGGGCTCATCAGGTAGGTGCAGTCCCCGATTTTCCGTCAACCTTATGATCTACTTGAACCCAAATTGGACTGTTTTCGAGAAGTACACTCATTTGCAAAGCACTTCGGTTTTCACGGGAGACTCAACTGAATCTCTCGTTTATGAGTTTATGGGTTCAAGTAGATTATAAGGTTGACGGAAACTCAGGGACTGCGCCTACCTGATGAGCCCCAAGAAGGGAGAAACCGGTCGTGGGCTGTCGAAGAGTTTTCAGCAACCTTGCGAGTAGTTTACCGCGATATCTCGAATATCGTGCCAACTGAATCATGAGGCGGCCTGTGTACAGGACATTTAGCTGGAGGACATCATAAATGAGAGATTCTCCCATAAGTGCTTTTCACTCTACCAAGGATGCTACTTTAATTCTATGAGAACAAGTCACCTTCCATACAACATAGAGATTGAGGCCCTGAAGTTGATGGCGGAAATTCCGGCCGAATATCTGGTTTAATTCTGTCATGGCAGTCTAGTGAAAACTTGTGTCCTTTCAGTTTGAAACTAGGGATAGGGACTTCCGACTGGTATATCTCATGCCACTGGTATTCCCAGTTATTGGGCCAAAAAGACCCACAGAAACATGGTTTATCTCGAACGAAACTCAGTTCTAGCTCCAACAATATCTTTCGCGAAAAAAACCCACAAATTCAGCCTTCTGTTGACCTTAGATAATCGATGCGATCCATCTAGACTTATCAGTGACCTTTTATCGTTCGGACCTGTCGAAATCTCATACGTTAACCATAGATAACTCGGCGCTAGCTTGAACCGGGAACTTTTAATGTGTAAAAGATCAGAATTTGCGAATTTGACAGAGCAACTTAACTCGAACACAACGTTTGAAACGAACCAGTCCTGGGTCTCTGACTACTTACTTTAAAGGCACTACCGCTGGATGATGACGTAAATTTTTGGAAATCAAGCGAGTCTCCGGGAGAAAGTCACGTTGCCCAGAGTAAAAACAATGGTACCTGTACCTTTTTGGTAAAGAATAATGCCCCCCTTTCAATCTTAAGTGAAATTCCTGTTGCTAAGCGCTACGGAACAGGTATATGCTCCTTGGGAAACCGGGTTTAACAAGCCCGTTGTTCTCGCACAAGAGACCATAAGCTGTTCAATCGGGCGTGGGAAAGTTTTCACCCTGGCTTTATTTGTTCAGTATCTTGGGAATTTTAGTCAGAAATTTTGCTCAGGTGTTTACAAAATATTCGTCCTTAATGCGAATAGTTTATCCGAGCTTCTCAGCTCCGGACAAATGGTAAAGCAGAGTAGTATTAGACTTCTAATCTAATTTAACATCTGCAGTATAGACGACTTCAAGACAGTCTGATTTTTGTCTAACAAGTCATGAATAAGCCAGCCAAGTAGAACATAAGGTTGACGGAAAGTCGGGGACTGCACCTACCTGATGAGCCCGAAGTGGGAGGGCGAAACCGGTAGTGGGCTGTCGAAGAGTTTTCAGCAACCTTGTGAGTAGTTTCCTTTATGAAAGCCAGCCAAGACATTGATGCAACACTCATCTTCAGATTCACAACCTGAATCTGGCACACGAATCCGGCAAATCAGTGTCAGAAGAACCTGTCATTCCGCTCATATAAATAAGTTTTGAACTGTCCTTCCTCACTTGCCATTTTCAAGAAGAATCCTGGCGTTGTTTCTGAACGCTGGTGTCACCGTACAGTATAGAGCACTGGCAACATCACGTCTGAAAACGATTTTTTCTGTGACTTTTTATACGCCGCTGTAACAAGCTTCTCGAGGCTATTAGGTATATGCTTTCATCTCTTCCTTTACCCGTGAAATTGCTGTTGAATCGCTCATTTGGGCACAATGCTTTGGAAGGAACCCGCAACAATACACGGAGCATTCATAATTGGTAAATGCGGATCAGCTGACATTTTCTCCGCACCACAAGTTGCACGTTTCCGTTATCGGGGTCTTACTGGAGCAGTAAAACGGAGGCTTCCGATCTAGGGTCCAGGGATCGAATCGGGCCGGGATTCCACATTCGAGCACCTAATAAACTGTTTACTGGAAAAGGATCCTTGAAAGTTATCTCTTGGGTGCTCTGAATTTGAATCAGAATCTTTTGGCCGGCTAGGACTGCTCGCATTTCGGGAGATCACGTATTAGAGGATTGACAGACGTTGAAGCTACTGTCTGTAGGACCTAATTACAAGCACATATCACGTCGGTCATTCCAACTCTCCATGAAGTATCCTCTCTCATCATGCCACCTAATCGAGGAGCGATTCGTTGCACCTGAACTATGAGTAATAGAAGCCACACATTACTTGCTGTTCGGTGCGTTTGTACCAAAGTGGAAATCTAGCCCCCCTGGAGTAATTACACCGGTGAAACGAAGCTACTTACAGATTCATTACCGGCACCGTGACTCGATGACGAGGAATATCCCAGTGAACGAGTAATCAGTTGGCACAACATATCGAAGGTGCACCCAAACTAGCGCCCCAAAGATTGGTTGTTATGACTCCCGTTCATAACACATAGAGTGTTTTGATTCACACTGTAGTTGTTAGGTAACTTGCTGTGATATGGCCCTAGATGGGAAGTAAAGTGGGGTGCCCCCATTGGTGTCTGTACTTAAAAAATGCACCTTTTGCAGTGTAGGAAAGTCAAACAAGGTCATGGGTGAATTGAAACGAAAAAATATCATCTGAAATTACCTTGCAAAGGCCCTATGAATATTCATGTGCACAATGATGGGTAACAGTAAAACGGAGGCTTCCGATCTAGGGTCCAGGGATCGAATCGGGCCGGGATTCCACATTCGAGCACCTAATAAACTGTTTTAGAGCTATAAACACCGTCAATTTGTAATGGTTTGACGTAAATCCCTACTGTTCCGTGAACTCCATCAGTCGAATAATGACGGTAACCACCATTTGATCCGTTTTTCACCTCTTCATCGTGTGCTTCAGTTTAGGTTCGCCTCTCGACTCCAGGTTCATTTTTGTCTTGTCAAGGTTCACTGCGTTCAGTTACTAATTCAGGGTGTCGCTGCTGTTACGTCTGTGCATACCGTACATTGGACGGTAAAGTCTGAAAAACTTATCCAGACGGTATTGAACATTGGTTATTGGTCTGTTCGCCGAGCTTGGCAGCTGGATTGCAAACGTTTCATCACCAATCGAGGTGACATCGTCAGTGCAGGGTTGAGTGCACTGATGATGTCACCTCGATTGGTGATGAAACGTTTGTACTCCAGCTGCCATGCTCGGTGAACAGAACAACAACCGAGCTACCTACATTCCACAACATTGCTGGTATTGTACAATCGTTAAAAAAATTGGTTCCAATCGTTTGAGACTTCGGATACGCTGAATGCGGCCCGAAAGGGCACATACCAAACAGAAACCTGATTTGCAGAATTCGCTAATGATTTGAAAAGTTCTGAAATTTGTAAACCGAGAACATTTAGTATATTTTCATAAAGGAAACTACTCATAAGGTTGCTGAGAACTCTTCGACAGTCCGCGACCGGGGCTTATCAGGTAGGTACAGTCCCCGAGTTTCCATGTTCAACTCAGTATATGTTTTTCCGGCAGTTCACCGCTGATGCAATAGCCTTTCTGACCAGTCATTTTCCCATAGAATATGTATGGGATGTCAGCCGATAATTGGTTCACTGCTACGTATATACGCCAAGGATAATCCCAAGTATACGTATGGTGCAAAGTGATAAAAATATCCAGCAGCAAAGTATCTGTTTAATTCATGGGAAGGCTGTTTTAGTGACAGCATAACCCAAGTATACAGGACAAGACCGAGACAACTGTCGAACGCAGTTTAACTGAAGAGTAATGCACGAGCTGCCGGTTATAAGTTAATCCATTCTGGGAAAGGGGTGTTTATTACAACAAGCAATTGACTTCTTTGTGCAACAAACCCTCGTGTGAGATTACTGGTAATTAATCGACATGAACCCAATTTTTTAGCCATCACTATTTATCATATGCACCTAACGAACACCTGAGTTGAATATTCTCCCCCCTGCACAGTGAAACAGACTTTATGTGCTTCGATTTCATGCCTCGACATCACAATATCATTCGTTTTCGCATGGGACGTCCATTCCCCTTGCTTCCCCGTGAACGCGAGTCCATGGGCGACAGCTACATGCAGCGGTTGTATAGGGAGGCTTGTCAATGGAGCTCGTTCACCCTGAATTACATTGAATGGACCTATGAATACTTTATCCAAGATCCTCCGGTCCCGATAAACTGCCCAATCCAAGGAAAATTCAAGTTTATTCAAAGGGGACAGGAACAGGAGAAGTATGATACGAAAATTCCAGGTGGCATGACTCCAAGACCGTGGCTTCAGGTGAGTTTCACAGCAGTTCCGTCATTTTTCCATTTCACATGCTGGGGTGTACGGCTTCCGCTGATATCTGTCTGTTGTGGTGTCATAGGTCAATTCTTCTGCCGGATTCTCCTCACCCAGCAGTGTCGCGAGCAGTTTCAGAAATAGTTGAACTTTTTCCCACTGTACTCTCTTATGGCGAATCAGCCTAGTTCGACATGATCAGTTCGGTTGGTCCGCACCAAAAGAAAATCCAGTGGATTCAAGGACCGCTCTTGCTGGGACTCGACAGAAAGACACGCATTCAGCCATACCAGAGATCACAAGTAAAGTAAGCGCCTCTGAATTGTAGTCACTCGACGAATGAAGGCGTTCCAACTTGCGCTTCGGTTTCAATGGATTTTCTCTTCAGTATCGCAGACGCTAGTCTGTAGTCATCATGCACTCAGTGATTGGACTAAGATACGTTTTGACTTTTGGTGGCCTGTGGGTCTTTCATCCGTAGATTCTGAACTGGAAACGAGTTAAAATGAGTCAAAACTGAGCGTTTCCCAGGAAAGTCATATGAATCGTTCAAAAGCACCGGAGACTGAGGCCAACTTGCACTCTTTTGCACGAGGAATCTTTGCCATCGTTTTCAAGTAAAATACAGAGTACAAGATAGATTCTCCCTAGTCATCAGACATCACGCTTCTAAGCTTGATAATTTAACTATATAAAATCACATTCTCACAATTTCCTCGTCTACGTGACTGGACTAGTTAATTACAGTTAATGAACTCAGCTGACGCAGATCTCTCCAAATTGCAATGTTTATTTTAGGTTTTGTGCTACAACTACTGGCAATCGAACATACAAGCCTGTCTTCAGGACCCAAAAACACTACAGTTGGATGTCCAGAAGTGCTGGCGACTTGATTTCGCGGGTCAACCAATATCGGAGTACAATGTTGTAGACAATTATATCACATGTGTGGGTTTCTGGATGGAAGATACGAAGTCCTTTCTGATCACACATGACAAACAGGATCCGGTAGGTTGCATTTGACAAGCTTGAAGATTATGTGAGGTAGTCTGCTTGAACTGTGTCGCCACTGCAAAAGATTTCAAGTCATTTGCTTCAATCAAATCGGTATGGCTCTCTGTAGTTTGCTCTTGGAAAGCAGCAAAAACCAAAGGCTTAGAATACGGTTCAGATTTATTTGGGGTGGGTGAGTTGAAGGCAGGAAGCCATACCGTTTAGCTGTAGCACCTTTTCGGTGTCTAACTGCAATGCCACCAGAAAAAAAAACACGAAGGTTGGGATACTGCCAGGTTTCCCAAGTCTAGACACAGAAGAAATGGAGAGGTAGAGGTCGGGTTCGAACCACGGACCTTCCGGTCAGTAAATTCGCGCTCCAACCACTAAGCTGTCTCGCAAGAATGACCTAACGTATCAACATGCACTCACGTGGACAAGAAGGAACTATCAAACAGACTTTTAAAGAGGACTACAAAGGATAGATATGTGGTGTGCGTATGTCCTGAAAAAGTGATACCATTCTTCCACGTTGGCATAGTGGAGGCGCACCAGGTAAATAACTGGGAAGGGATTTCTTTCCTTGGCAGTATCCATCAATAATCCGGTGCAGTTATGTATGTAAACTAATGCATTTCCACTAATGTAGTCTCATATTTTTGATAGCCAGATTCCACAGCATTTTATTTACGGGAAGCTTACAAAAGCGTGTTTGTCTACTTTGTTTAAACAGGCATTAAAATGAGAACTCGGTGAAGATATGGACTTTGGTTGGATGCAGGCATTGAAAGTACAATAAAGAGTTTGATATAGAGGAGAATGTTGGTAACTCAGATTGCTGAGCTGGTCATTGATTTGTTCGTTAAGTTGGGCCCTTTGATTGCAAATCTTTTCTCATCAAGAGAGGTGAAATCATCGGTGCGTTGTTAGGGAGCGTAGCGATGGGTCGGTGGTCTTAAGCTCAGCGAACAAATCAACTACAATGAAGGGTTGATGTTCAAGTGTAATTACTGAGGTGAAATAGGCGAATATTTGCATCTCAACGACACCGACTGGTGCTATCCATGACATCACACTGAGAGCTGTATGATTATCTTGTTCTATTCAAAACATCGACATTAAGTGGATACTCTCATTCCAGAATGCTATAAGATACATGCATCCTCACTGTCACGTAAAAAAAAACGAGGGAATAGGCTAAGTGTTATGCAGGAGGAATACTGTCAAGGCGAATTTCCGTTGCTTTGCTCACGTTCTTCTTCACGTGACTTCAGGTTACGAACAATTTCCGTTGCTGGGTGTACAAACGTGTTGGATTCCGAAATTACCTCATGTCCCGTGGCAGGGGGAATCAGTGCTCGAAAATCCAGACTGCGGAATCTTCACTGCCCGAAGAAGGCGCCTCGCTGCTTCTCGAACTTACAGAGGACGAACTGCAATTTGACGTGTGTCCCATGTCTTGGGATGACGGTCGCAATCCTTATGCCAGTCAAGATGTGCTTGATGTGTACGGCGTGGCAACACACAAAGGTTTTTCCACTCATGCGATATTATTGTCGGTAATCCTCACGCAGCTTGTCTGCTGTATGTTATAGACAATACCATTCCCTGGTGGTCGGAAACCCCAAAATGGTCAATAAAGGATGACTACTACGTCTTAAAGCCACTGTACAATACTTTTTGTGTAGAATAAATTATCTTTACCGCTTGAGACCGTTTATTTTTACTAACAGCAATGCAGGCACAGGACAAACTCGTGGGAATAGGGAAAACAAACGGATTAGTGTTAAGGCTGATGTAAGTGATGAGCGCAACGCTACTGCGGTCAAGGATTATTTGTAGAAATCTACCCAAAGACTTAGAATCGTGAAATTTGAAATCAGCATACCCAATTCTGGCCAGCTATTAAGTACAGATGAGCTCTTAAAATTATGTAAACAAACCAGTAGAATACTCACACGTTACGAGGATATAAAGTAACAAAACAAATTCAGTTCATTATTGATTGGCTTGTTGGAAAATAATACGTCTGTTGTTGCGGATTACTGAGGTACACTGTTCTAACATAAATCCTATCAAATTTGCAAAGCGCTCTCATCTAATCCCCACCATTCTGCCGTGATTGCTGCTTTCAAGTCATTGGTCATATGAAAAATGCGGCTGCCACCATGCACTTTTTTCGCCATGATCCACTAGACTTTCTCGATTAGGTGAAAGTCAGGAGTTGAAGTATACAAATCCAACGAATGGACATTTGATATAGCAACCTCGATTTTACGGGATAGATGAACTGCGTATGGAAAACTACATGATTACCTGAACAACCAGCACCGTTCGGGATGGAGGGTTACTCACTGCCGTTATGTATAAATCCACCATCTGCTTCCAATCTCATACTGTCAAACGACTCTTTCCTCGTATAAAAACTAACTCAACACTCTTCACAGAGCCACGGTGACTTACTGAAAACTCTGTATTCTTTCTTGGAGGCAGACCAGTGGCACGCTAATCCATACAAACCGCCAACAACTAACTTTGTTGGTAGTGTGAGATCTGAAGATTTTCAATAGAGATTACGTCCTGTAGACAAAGCCGAGAAGCACTGTACAGCTGTACCTTCCTTATTGGGAATCATCGGCAGTGCGCATCTCGTGAAATTCTAGTAAAGTTGCGAACCCGTGACCTCCTCGCCCAGCAGTTTGGACACTTAATATTGGGAATGGCAGTGCGCATCTCGTGAAATTCTAGTAAAGTTGCGAACCCGTGACCTCCTCGCCCAGCAGTTTGGACACTTAACCGTCCGGACACGCACGGTGATTAACTCGCACCTAGACGGGGTATAGTACCACAGTGAGCTTTCTTCCATCTCCCACCAAAAAGGTATTTTGGTTCTCTATCCGTTTCAGTTTCCTCTTCATGTGGACTGCGTCCAGACAAGAAACTCTCATCTTGCTTCATGCTTGAGGGCATAGTTTAACTCGCCTCAGCTTCTCGCTCGAAATTCGAGAGACATTGGGGTTCCGTGTAGCCCAATGACATCGTTGCAAGTACTTACGACTCTGGACAAACTTGCTTTCCCACATTCATTCTTTCGTCATTAGTTGCCACCATCCAAGTCAGGTAAAAAAGAGAACTGTCATTCAGTGGGGTGAGCCTGGTGTTGTAATGATCGTTGCAGCTGTTTGTGGGACATATTTGTAGGTTCGACACATCCTAATATTTTATATCTTTATGCGTCCAGTTGTAGCACCCCTCCGGTGCCTAGCTGCCAATGCCACACGAAGGAAGCACGAGGGCTGGGATACTGCCAGGTTGCCCAAGCCCTCTCGACGAGAGGCGGAGGTCGGATTCGAACCACGAACCTCCCGGTCAGTAAATTCGCACTCTAACCACTTAGGCCATCTCGCCCCCACATCCTAGTAATATGAGCCCTTATTTCTGACTCAATTACTGCGTACAACCTGAGCACCCTCTCTGTGTATTGGACTTTTTGTGTTTAAAACAAGCGATTAGGTAAGATCAAGTAAGTCCAACTCTTCCAAAATGGACATGGTCAATGCCGCAACAGGTCGGGAAAGAATGTCAAGGTCAGACTCAGTTACACATTGAAAATCTATGCCAGGGCTATTGCAATTCATACGAGGCAGTAAAAGGTTGCAGGGAAGGGGTCATATGAGAGAATGGCATATTTTTGCCAACTTGAGATTAAGGAACATTCTGGTGGTTTTTTGTAAGCAGGATAGAAGTGGGGTAAAATTATGGTACAGTTGCGCTTTTGAAAGTGCCTCAGAATGAGCGTGTAAAAATGTCCACGGGAACCTGAGAGAACATGGAAATGCATAATTATTTGTCCTCTGCTTTGGTTCCAACATCTTCCGGAGGACATCGCGATGCGATGAATTCTTCCAAACTTCGAGGTTTGTCATCTGAGTATACGGTAAACACGGTGTGTTTGAGTTTTCCAACGGGAGCCGGTAGATCCGGATTGGTGGCTTTACCTTCTGGGTCGGCAGCGTGCATGGCGCTAGGCGTGAGGCCATCCAAAGGTTCCTCGCCCGGGTAAACACCGTGTAAAATGAAGTGCTCCTGTGCTTCAATGGCAGCTGTCAAAGCATCGGTATCTTGCTTCCGCCTCTCCGCTGGCCATTCGCCAAAACGACTAAACAGCTTTTCACGTAACATAGCCACACGACCGCTCCTTTCAAAGTCTAACAGTTGTTGCTGGTTTCATTAGAAACGGTAGAAAAAACCACATGAGTAAAAGGGCGATAGCGCTGCAATAATAACAACAGTATCAATAATGGATGAATCAAATGAAGCTGTCTCTACGAGCATCCATATTCCTCAGTAAGAATTGCATGAAAAAACGAAGGCATATTCTGGCATATACTTAACCGAAAAAAGCGACATCCGATCCTGACAAGCCTAAGCTCATGAGGAACAATTACATCACACGGCGATAGAGTAGACGATTTGAATAACGCCCGGATAACGGAAACTCAGTTCACTACTTCCAGTGAGGAAAGCTATTTTTTGTCAATCAATCAATCAATCAATCAATCAATTAATCAATCAATCAATCAATTAATCAATCAATCAATCAATTAATCAATCAATCAATCAATTAATCAATCAATCAATCAATTAATCAATCAATCAATCAATTAATCAATCAATCAATCAATTAATCAATCAATCAATCAATTAATCAATCAATCAATCAATTAATCAATCAATCAATCAATTAATCAATCAATCAATCAATTAATCAATCAATCAATCAATTAATCAATCAATCAATCAATTAATCAATCAATCAATCAATTAATCAATCAATCAATCAATTAATCAATCAATCAATCAATTAATCAATCAATCAATCAATTAATCAATCAATCAATCAATTAATCAATCAATCAATCAATTAATCAATCAATCAATCAATTAATCAATCAATCAATCAATTAATCAATCAATCAATCAATTAATCAATCAATCAATCAATTAATCAATCAATCAATCAATTAATCAATCAATCAATCAATTAATCAATCAATCAATCAATTAATCAATCAATCAATCAATTAATCAATCAATCAATCAATTAATCAATCAATCAATCAATTAATCAATCAATCAATCAATTAATCAATCAATCAATCAATTAATCAATCAATCAATCAATTAATCAATCAATCAATCAATTAATCAATCAATCAATCAATTAATCAATCAATCAATCAATTAATCAATCAATCAATCAATTAATCAATCAATCAATCAATTAATCAATCAATCAATCAATTAATCAATCAATCAATCAATTAATCAATCAATCAATCAATTAATCAATCAATCAATCAATTAATCAATCAATCAATCAATTAATCAATCAATCAATCAATTAATCAATCAATCAATCAATTAATCAATCAATCAATCAATTAATCAATCAATCAATCAATTAATCAATCAATCAATCAATTAATCAATCAATCAATCAATTAATCAATCAATCAATCAATTAATCAATCAATCAATCAATTAATCAATCAATCAATCAATTAATCAATCAATCAATCAATTAATCAATCAATCAATCAATTAATCAATCAATCAATCAATCTATCTATCTATCTATCTATATCATTCAGTTACTTCGATGCCTAGCTGCCGTTTCACCCGAAGGAAGCACAAGGATACTGGGATACTTCTAAGCTTCCCAAGCCCAGACAGGGGAAGTCGAGATGCATAGGTCGGGTTCGAAATACGGACCTCCAGTCAGTAGATTCGCGCACTAGCCACCGAGCCAACGACCACTTGCAGGGAAACTAAAAACACACTGAGCAGCGATCAAATGTTTCCGGTGTTCAATTGTAGCTGGCTTAAATGTGTTCCAAACAGTTTGGAAATGATTGCCACGTGTTCTTCGGAACTGCATTTTGGCTCGAGTTCGCCTGCATTTTTTGTAGATGGTCAGATTCACGGACTTTTACGGAGGATAAATCACTCCTATGGAAACAAAATAGCAAACCCTCTCAAGATAATAAATCCTACGTAAACCTGGTGCGCGATGTTTCTCATGAACTTCCCAGGGGAGGGAATACCATGACGAAGTCCATGTGGAAATCACGCTTGTCATAGAACTCGTTGAACGCAGAATCATACAGACGAGCTACAGGAGATTCGGTGAACAAAATGCACCTTATTAACAACATTCAGATGTCAATCGACAGTCCTCACTATGGTGGTAAAAGTTGTCATAAGTCACGAAAAGGGGCACGTCACGTAGCTGATGACGCTAATGTTAGGACAAATGGGCAAGTGCCCACGGAAAACTGCAATGCAGTGTACTTGTTCAAGAAACGATGACAGTCGACGATGTTGTCCGATCACCAGTCCAGCCTCATGGACTTTGTCCCTTGTCCTTCCGCACAACCAATCACATTTAGTCTTCACATCCATTTATGGTAAGCAATCATCCTTACGATGCCCGTAAATCTGTTTCACTAATTAGGAACTCGGATCCACGTTCATGCTGCACCGAAGTCCATTTTCGTAGTACTGAATGGCCGTACCTTTCACGTGCTTATGCCTGTCTACCATCTGCACTACCAAGTGTAAACATGAGTACCCACTTACCCGTTTCACTCAATTTCACGTGTGAGTGATGGATTTAAGTACTTAGTACTGTAGCGGCATCGTTACTAAGCATTGTGAAAAAAACTATTTTCACCACCGAACCGAATGGACGGCATCTTTAATAAATCACGGAACATTTGGTGATCACTTGCTTCACGTTGCTTTCTTGTTCACCAGAGCCTGTTTGTTTACCTGTTGAGGTGATTAGCCAGCGTTCGATAATAGGAATGCAGGCCATAGAAAAGTCTTTAAGAGACAGAAGGTACTTACCATGAAGCCGTGATTCGGACATGCACAATGCCTGGCTCCCTGAACAGCTTTGAATAATTCAGCCAAAGAGAAGTCTGTCACAACCATCAAATAGGCCAGCGTGATGGTCACACTTCGTGATACACCACAGGCACTACCAAAAGAATCAAGAGAACAGGCAAAGTTAAGATGAGAAAATTCCGAGGAGTATGTGGACGGGAAATCAAACAGGGTGCATTGCGAGACACTGCAGTGTGAGAAATTGTTGAACAAAGAGGCACGAAAAACCATCGTTAGAAAATTTTCACGTGAACACTTCGAGGTGAAGAAGATTCAGATCCAGAGGACAGTTCCGTCAAGTTACAGTGAGATTGGGGATATCCCAACGAGTACGTGCATCCTCCAGAAAGCTCTCCTTGCTTCAAGTAAACGGAACTACGATATCATATAAAGCTTTAGCAGTTTCATGTACGAATCCGAAGGCACTAGAGAGATGTTATGAGCTGCTCAAAGTATTGACATCCTGTTTGGGGATCCAGTGACAGCTTGAGCGTCCTGTGACCCACTGACCTAGACCGAGGAGATTCGTGCGAAACATAGGATTGTTCACATCAAGTTAATGAATGGTCAGAGGTCTGACCTCCGACGACGGAGGTTTGGTCTTCCAACAGGAACGCTGGAACGTGTGGAAACTTGTTCTTTGAAAAAAAGTAATGTACCTCCAGTTACACACCACCGTCCTGTTTTCCAGCCGAAGTCTTTGTTGAGGACCATAATCCAGGTTTCGACGCCCTGGTGGTATTTCAGTCTGTGTATGGCCATTATTCCCAGAACCAGGAGTAGAATCATGACATATCGGTCGTCGAATGGTGTCACCGACCGAAGGCCTTATTTATTGTATACAACAGGGCGGGTAGCCGAAAACACACCACTGTTGACGTCTCCTTTCTAAGTCACCCTTACTTGACCAGATACTTTTCAATATTCGCCTCTGCGTGATTAGCCTAGCAATGTCCGTGAAGGAATCTCACAAGGGGAAGCTGACAATCGTCTGTTTATTGTGTCAGTTTACGTACCAAGCGATGGTAGCTCTGACATCATCAAGAGAAATTTTTTGACGCCTTGAGTATCCTGGTACGACGGGTTAAAAGCCCAACTATAGTTGTAGTTGTCGGAGACCTGAACACACAAGCGGACAAACTTGGCGCATATAAATTTGGTGGACTTGGATTGTACTCGAAACATGCGACGAACAACACGCTTAAGCCATGCAGTCACCTAAAACCGTTTTTAACGTGGTTATAATACCTACGATAACCAAGATCGTCCGGCTACATGGTGATTTCGCATTGCCATCAGTCACCGGAAATTAGGATCAACAAATGATTATCACTTCTTTAGGTAGAATTTAATCGTATACTTTTCTGGATTCAATTAACTTTGCTCCTAAGGGCTGCACAGGCTGTGAACAAATGTTTTATAAACTAAAAGGCTTGCATACCACGGAATCGAAGGAATTTATCTAATCCACCCAAGGATTAGATATCAGAGAGAATTTCGGAGCAGGTTCTGAACGTGATTCAACGGGCCGAATTATCAAACTTCAAGTGACACTTAGCGTGAGCGCTGACTGTGAAGTCTGGTGGTCATGGAAGGTAAGCAAATTGAAGAATGCCGGGAATGGCCAGAGTTTACTCTAGGTGATCCATATGACCGGATCCTCAAAACCACCTGTAAACAAGGCCATCAAGCATTATAATTAGGTGGCCAGTTGAGATAAGGAAGAACGCCTTGATCGGTGGACTGAGCATTCTCGTGGCCACGTGCTTCTGTTCAGTCCGACTCTTGAACCACAGTGGAATCCCAGACAGTAAACTTGGAGCACTCTACGGCCTCGGGGGTGTACGACTGCGCATCTTCTCCCAAGCGCCATCGATCTATTGGACGGTTCGTCTGTCTGTATTCAAGTATGGAGGTGAGGTCTTTAGTCAGTGTTTGTCTGACTTGTTTGCTTTCCTTTGGAAGGAGACTGTTCTAGACACCTGGCAACAGTTGGAAGTAGTATCCATTTTAAAACAAGGGCTCGCAGTGGATGTGACAATTGCAGAGCAGGTAATGAGACCCTTGGAGTCGCTTTGTCGCCTTGTGATGGGCCACGAAGCATTGACTCGAGAGCAGCAAGCGGGATTTCGGCCCGGTAGGAGTTTCAGTAACCACATCTTCACGTTCCGTAAAATGTTAAAACAACGCCATACGCTTCGGTGACCCAGGAGTTTGCAGCAAGCGGATTTCGGCCCGGTAGGAGTTTCAGTAACCACATCTTCACGTTCCGTAAAATGTTAAAACAACGCCATACGCTTCGGTGACCCAGGAGTTTGGTATCACTGGACTTTCCAGTGACATTCGGCAATTAACCGGCCTCATCTCCTTGACAAGGAGTACCACGGAAATTTGCAGTTTGATAGTTGCAGCCATACAAGAGTGTCTGCGGAGCTCTCCGAAAAATAAGGGCCCACTCTCACAATCCTATAGACTTCCGTGATCAGTGGGGTAGTGAGTCAAACGCCAGAGGGTTTCCAAAACCTTGGTGTTTAAGCAGTTGCTGACAAGAACATTGACGATGTGGGTATACACCTGATATCAGGTGGAAATTATCACGGGATTTGTCATGCGCTTTGCACTGACAAAGTATAAGGTTATGCTCCCCGACATGCATTCACCGAATCCGCTGTTGCTAACGAAACCATAACCAGATAACTAGAAAATGAATATGCAGCTGTGCAACAAGGAGCTCAATCAGAGTGTGTTCACATCCAAAGTTACAATGGTTCGATCGTGTGTTCCGCATACTGAATCATCGTCGATCGAAGACGGCCTGCTTTCAGTGCCCAATTTGGAGTGGCGTAAGCAGAGATATGGTAAAACTTTGACCTGACACGAGGAAACGAAATCAATTACGAGGTCTGGGTACTGTTGACACTGCCCCCTTCCAGGATGGGATCCGCGTGAGCCTCCGTGTGCATGGATGGAGACACTGCAACTTATGGCTGCCAGTCGATATCAATGGTGTTCTTGTTGCCAGCTTCTGTCCAGATTGTCTGATTGGGTTTCTGGAGGCATAGGCACATCGGAATGACTGTAGTGGTCTGGGATTAAGTCCCTTCAGCTCCTATTGCCTTTTTATAATAAGACATTCAAATAAATTAGGGTTAGTAATTGATGTGGTGTCGGTGATGTTTTCGTAGGATTTTACATTGCAACTCTCGCAGTGCCCGTCGTTTGTCAATCATACGAGGCCCATCCCAGCGTAAAGATCTCTTGTCAAGGTTGCTAGGCATCATTTTCGTGAACTTCACCTACGACTATCCATCAACGACTGCAACTGGTGTGTGGAAAGATATATCCACAGCCGTACACGGGCACAGATACCACGGGATCTCAGAAAGGTTGCTGATAGTTTTTGGCCCGCGACGATATATCACTCAAGGCACAATTGAGCTCGGCGGTCAAGTAGATGTTAGCTCAACCAAAGTTTGGGCATTGACAGTCGTAGTGGGACCGAAAAAATGAAATCTCAATGTAGCCGGCAATGCACGGAGGTTGTTTCAGCCAACGCGAAAAAATGTACCCAGGGGACTACCTTTTAGTGAGTTAATCAACGATAGCATTGGAAGTTTAATATACAACAAAAGCCAGCGTGTACACTACTAGGCGAAATAATCCCAGCAACAGTATAGTTGGCCCTATACGAATAAATGCTTGTCTTTCATTACGCGACCGGGTTGTTGGATCACCAGCGCTATTGGAGAAGTGGCGAATGTGAGTTTCGCTTTCATTAGATTGTTCGAACTTATTCGGGAACAAGAACTCGTTTCAGAGAACCTGTACTTTCATTAAAAAGGTACCCGAGGAGGCCACTAGAATAACAAAAGTGTGAGCCTTGTGTGCGTTATGACAGTAAGCTTCTCTGATCCTGGCACGTGGGACGTAATTCCAGAGTATGAGGCAGGATTTTGACCAGAGGTTGCAGCGATCATGCCCTTACATTATGCCGGATGCTTGAGCAACGCCAAACATATAGCTGATCAATAACCGTCGTTTTTCCCAAGTCCAGAAAAGAATCCGACTTCATAGATACGATAAACCGTTCTACAGTGAAAAGAGGAATGACCTCAATCACGATACTTTTGGTCGTGCAAGATCTCTCAATGAACCGTTAAAAAATCCCCTCACAACTAAGGAGCTTCAACAAGAATACACTCCATCTCCTTTTGTTCAACTATGTGACTTACATACTTACTGAATGTACTACGAGAAAGATTAGCGTACCTAAAATATGTGGGTGACATTGTTTTGTAATTCGACGATCACCAGACCAAATAAATTAGTCGAGTAGAGAAAATCGTACGCTTGCTTCGACATGTGTCTTGCAATTTCAAAGCTCACAGTGTTGCTCCAGAGATTTTATTCCATTTGTGGCCTTTTGGAAATTTAACATAAAACGCTTGTGGCTTTGGACTTTGAAAAATGCATACACCACGGTTTTGTTGCGAGTTTATTAAAGCGGGAGCAACATTTGCTGAATTGTATCACGTATGGTTCTAAAACGAGTTTCACTGAAGGCAGGAGGTCGTGTAGACAAGGCAAATGTAGGGGCACTTTTACTTTATGGTGCTTAAACATCCTTCCGTCCGATCGCAAGACCCAGAATAACGAAAACATTTTGTCACCAGTGCCTTTGTAGCACGGGAGAATGCAGCAGAATGCAGCGTACACACAACTAAATGGTGCGTAGGCCAAGCAGCCCCCAACTCTTCAGAACCGTTGGAGAGGCAAAGGAAAATTGTCAGACTATGTATATATTACACATGTCCACCCAACGCCATCCTTTATTTAGAACTCTTCCTGGCTTCGCGGAGAACACACGATGACAGCGACAAGAAATGAAAGCAGTTGCAGTCAGACTAGGTAAGATGGGACAATAATGCTTTCCTGGTTATATCCACGTGATCCTCCCCGCCGGAAACCATACGGGCGATGACACGTAGTCGATCCCTTCAATATCTAGCCAAACTGCTTGACTGAAGTGCATCTGTCGTTGCGTTCAGGGATTGTTTTGGGTAATGCCAGCAAAAGATACCAGAGTAAACCTAC